TAGTTGGAATGGCCAATACCAGACACCAATAATGAGAAGGAAAAAAAAAAAAAACTCTTAGCAAGAAATGGATCAGAGAAACTCAAACATTTATCAGAATAACAGAGTTGGAAGGGACCTTGTAGGTTATCTAGTCCAACCTCCCCCAACCCCACCTAAGCAGGAGACCCTACACTATTTCTGACAGATGGCAATCCAATATTTTTGCCCCCCATATATTACTGAGAACATTCCACAGGAATGGACTAGACTAGACTAGACTAGACTAGAATAGAATAGAATAGAATAGAATAGAATAGAATAGAACATGTTATTGGTTAAGTGTGATTGGAAACACAGGAACTGTGTACATAAGTTCTCAGTATACAGAGTAATAATCATCATCATCATCATCATCATCATAATCATATCAAAGTAATAATAATTATAATAATGATACCATTAGGAGAAGGCTGTGGAACAGATGAGAAAGATAAAAGTAATACATAAAAAATAATTAAATCCCAAGCAAGACAAGGTTAAAGACTTGGAACGGATCTTGAAACACAGGAAAATCCAAGACATTATTTAAAAGCAAAGAGGTTGCTATGTAAGAAATGGCCTTTGGCAGGGGAACATAGACAAGGCATTAATACACCATGAAATATGAAGAAGGAGGTGCAGAAAGTAGAGGAAATGTCATTCAAGATGGGGCTGGAAACAGTGGGCGGGCATGTGTCACCCAGTTCTGACTGAGAGATGGGAGAAGCCGCCTGCTGGGATGAATTAGAGGAAGCAGGCTGACCGTTGATGGGTGTAACCCAGAGAGTGGGATTAAAATCAGTAATGGCCAGAAGAACGGGGCCAAGAGGAAAGAGTGGGTGGCGAAGGAGGGGAGATGAAAAGGCAAGAAAGAGGAAGTGAGGCAGAAGCAAATTTGGGCCTAAGCCTAGGAGGGTTAAAAAGAACAAGCTTTTATTTTTATTTATTTATTTATCAACTTTATTGGCTGCCCATCTTATAGCAGGGTAAGTCTGGGTGATTTACAGTATTGAAAGACAAAACTGTAAATATAAAATACTACAAAATGTAAAAATACGAAACACAGAAGCTGAAGGATGGGGAGGGTGGGAGTAGGATGAGCAGAGGGGTGGTGGGATCTGAATGTGAACCTGTCAGCCACTCCCAACATGAAACTCCACCTTTGGAACCCCAAAGTAACTGGCAGTTCCATAAGGCTCTTATGGAAAATCAGATGGGGGGAGGTAAGATGTTCCAGAGATCAGACACAATGGCAGAGAAGGCCCTTCTTCCTGGATGCCACCAGCCAGAATACCCCGGCCAATGGGGCCCACAGCATGCCTCCTCTGCCAGCACATGTGGGGCAGTCCAATCCCAAGAGATGGTCCCTTAATAAACCTGAACCCATGCCGTGAAGTGTTTGGCAGCCCAGAAGAATCCAAGAAATATGGCTTCCAAGCTGGCAGGTTTTCAAGGTGATTATCAACCACCTTGAATTGCGCCCACAAGCAAACCAGCAGCCAGTGCAGTTCACAGAATGGTGGTGCTGCATGTCACCCTCTTTCCAGATCCCAGGTCTTTGAAAGACCAGAACCTCATTGAACTAGAAGGCTTAACATTGTCCGCGATTGGGTCCACAAGACACTTGTACCAAACCGCAGGAAAAAATGGGGATCTTGATACGTTACAGGGAAACAAGCACATCCGCTAAAAGGCCGCCTCCTTCTTGGAGTCCGTCAACCGATAGTTTGATTACATCGAGACAGCATTTTGTCAATATTTTTTCAGCAACGGAGATCTAAGAGAGGAGGGGAAAGGAGAAGGAATTAGGAATAGATAAAGGGGTAGAAAAATGCTGCACTGCTGCAGATCAAAACAGTCAAAACAGGGCTGTGTGGCCTTGCGTGGGGGGGGGTCACAGAAGCCCACACAATCGTGGCTGGCCCTATAAGAATCCCCCCCCCCCATGTATATTAACAACTGCTAACAATCCTGCCTCCCCCAAAGTTGGAATTTTTCACCTTTTGAAATTGTATAATGTTATTTTTATAATTGGAAAACTTTTAAATTTTAAATTAATTCTGATTTTAATGTTGATTTTATTGATTTTATTGTACACCACCCAGAACCTCTCTTTGAGGGAGATGGGCAGTGAAGAAATATGATAGACAGACAGACAGACAGATGCCTCGATCTGGATGGATGGATGGTTGGATGGATATATGCCATTAAGTTGTCAATAACCACATAGATTTTCCCCCCATAACGATCTGTCCCTAATCCAGTCTTCCAGTCTTCTTTGCCTTGCTTTCAAGGTGCTTTCTTTGGTAAAAATACACAGGTGGTTTACTACTGTTTTCTTCTGGACAGTATGAATTGATGGCTTTGTGATTGTCCCTAAAGTGATTGCCCACTCCAGCATCTTCCTGTGTTGCTGCTGACCACTTTAGATACCTGCTTCCTTGGCAGAAGGGATGACCTTCACACCTTGGATGACCCTGCTGGGAATGTATGGTCCTGACATACACTTACCCCATTCTTTGCTTATCCCTCTCAGGAACACGAACACCACCTACCTACCACAATGGGGCAGCAGAGCAGGACTTGGGAGGAGTAGGTGAGGCCAGAACAAAACTCAAATTTGACTGTTAAATTGCAGTTTCTTCACAAACATATTGTACATTCTCTTCTATGCCCAATGGACAACAACTTTTAAAAAGATTGAGAACTATGCACTTGTCCTGAATGATCATTTATCATGGATGGGGAAGTCTGGTGCAAGTTCCCAATTATGCTCCCCTGCATTGTAGATTTTTTTAGGCCTTTCTTGCTATGTTTGGGACAAAAATTAGAACCATATTTTCTGACTGTATTTTGTCTGAACTGATTATGGCAAGCTGTCTTTGAATAAGTTAAGAGGACATTATTTTTTAAAAAATAGGCTGGTGGCAGTCAGGAAAGCAATCACATCCTGAGAATGCAAAATCCTAAAGCATTTCATTCTTTACCCAAGCATGCAAAGAGCACTCCGTTAGATTAGTGTTTCTGAACCGTGGCAACTTTAAGACTTCAGCGTCCAGAATTCCTCAGCCAGCAAGGTTGAGGAACACTGATTTAGGCACTTGGTAGGCAGTATGTCCATGCTGTACTTTTGGACCATACCAGTTGCTGAACAGGAGACAGGTGTATCAAGTCAAAACCTTCCCCGACTATGGTCTTGGAAACTGCTTAACTCCAATAAATTATTTCAAGGATATTCTGGGAAACCACTAACGTGTGAGTCAACTAAACATAATAGCTGAATAATGACTTATCTCCAGTCTCAGTGAATAAATATTGTGACACCGGCATTTTCAGCCAGAGCAAACTATCTGCCTGAAATAAAATCAGAGAAGAAAAATGGCCAAAATAATTTCAGAGAATGTAATTTATTTGTAGGCTGGTTGGTTTGGAATGAATGAATGCACGCGTGCACACGCACACGCACGCACACACACACACACATCCACCTAAGTAATTCTGGGGGTTAACAAACAAGACATAAAAGCCATATTTTAAAAACACTAATATAAAACAATGCAGAATGCAATTTTAAAAATATTAAGAAGATTGTTCTATCTTGTCAGAAGCTAATGTCAACAATATCATAATGTAGTTAGTATAACATGGGACTGTAATTGCAGAAGGGAATAGCATTCCATCCAATTTCAAATTACTTATGAATCATAACTGTGCATAAGTCAGCAAAGGCAAAAGAAAACCCCATGTTTGGTATACTTGGATGCTGTGATCTAAATACCCAAAGGTTTGGGACAGTTTCCCTCTATTTCATATTTTCTGACTGTATTTTGTTTGAACTGAATATAGTCAGTAATATTTGAATGAGTTTAGAGGATATTATTTTTTTAAAAAAAAACAAATAGATGGGTGGCAGTCAGAAAAACAATCACATCCTTGCATTTTAAGCTTTAAGGATGTGAAAGGTAATGGAAGGAAGAAAACACAAGATTGGGGGCATCTAGCAAGAAGAAAGGATCCATGTGTTTAGAGAAAGCAGCAGGTCCTTCAACGTTCTAGATAAAGTTCTGTGAGATTCTCTAAGGAAAGCTAGGGTCATACAGCATTCAGGTTAAATGCAAAAGAGATGGGGTAGTACATTATGGTGAAACCAATCATTATTTTAACAACTAGTGTAAATTATGTCTGCACATGAAGCCATCACTTAGATGATGTTTTCCGATATCGTATATAATATGAACCCCTGCTAGTTTGTTTTGCAGACCTGGATTTGGAGCTTAGGATATTGTTTGAACCCAGCCTATGGACCATGCAAAGATTCTTATCAACTATTTTATGTCCTATTGATGTGGAAATGACTTCCACAGTCCATTCCTACACAATTCTGAAGGAAATTTTACAAAATTACGCATTGGTAGAGATCTGGACAGCAGTATTTTGAAAGGAAATGTAAGTGGAAGGGACCTTGGAGGTCTTCTAGTCCAACCCCCTGCTCAAGCAGGAAACCCTACACAATTTCAGACAAACAGTTGTCCAATTTTAAAAAACCCCAGTGTTGGAGCACACACAACTTCTAGAGGCAAGTCGTTTCACTGATTAATTATTCTTACTCTCAGGAAAATGAAGTGAGGTTCTGCATGTTGGACCCAACTTAGCATGAGAGCCAACTTGCATCTCCCTTGGTGCCCTCCATCTTTGGTGCCCCAAACAGTGTGAATATACAATTCAACCACATTTTGGCAGGTAGAAAAGCAGAGCATTAGTTTATGCATGTACTTAAACTATTAAATATCAATTGCCTTTTCTTCCTGTTCTGCTCACTTCTTTGAGCCCCGGTTACTTTCTGTGATCATACCTACTGCTCTGAGTAACATCCTCAAGATATTATGTTGGATTAAAAGCAAATATAAGCATTAGAAAGTTACCTAACACTTGAACACTAGGAAACTGATTTAACTATGTGCTTCTCTTTGACTTTCCAGGTGTTCGTGAGCTGGGACTCCAACTTCCATCGCCATGGACTGGAAGACATTACAGGGCCTGCTGAGTGGAGTGAACAAATACTCCACTGCTTTTGGCCGCATCTGGCTCTCTGTGGTCTTTGTTTTTCGTGTCCTTGTTTATGTGGTAGCTGCTGAGCGGGTGTGGGGAGATGAGCAGAAGGATTTTGACTGCAATCACCGGCAACCTGGTTGCACCAATGTTTGCTACGATCATTTTTTCCCCATCTCCCATATCCGTCTCTGGGCGCTGCAGCTGATTTTTGTCACCTGCCCGTCTCTGCTCGTCATCATGCATGTGGCCTATCGTGAGGACAGAGAAAGGAAGAACCGAGAAAAGAATGGGGAAAACTGTCCCAAACTTTATAGCAACACTGGAAGGAAACATGGTGGTCTTTGGTGGACTTACCTCCTGACACTCTTCTTCAAGCTAGGTATTGAGATCGTCTTCCTCTATCTGCTCCACAGAATTTGGGACAGTTTTGACCTGCCACGCCTGGTCAAGTGTGATCTGAAACCGTGCCCCAATACAATTGATTGCTACATTGCTCGGCCTACTGAGAAGAAGATTTTCACATACTTCATGGTAGGGGCATCAGCTCTTTGCATTGTCCTCACCGTGTGTGAGATCTTCTACCTCATCTTCAAGAGAGTGATCCGCTCAATGAACAAATGGAAGAAGAACAAGAAGTCCTTGACCTACAGCAAGGCCTCCACATGTCAGTGCCATTCGAGGATGGAACATGCACAGGATGGGAAATTAAAGAATTCCCCCTTAGAAGGCCTCAGAGCTTCTGCACCTAACCTGACTTTAATCTGAGAGGGAGAAGAAACAAATCCAAAATGGCCCCATGCCAGGACACATTTTTCAAACATAAACTGGGGCGGGAGGGAGGACTTGAAGTGGAAGCCTTCCATTGAATCACTAAGCAAATTTTCCACAAGGGAAGGGCCACAATGATTGAAGGGGAGCTGACAGGAACACTGCCATGTTTATTCAGGTCTAAAGTCAAGGCCATCTGTTTTCACATTATAACTAAGCTAAGTATGCACACACTTCATATGCTCTGGCAAATCTAGGTTGGTTTGTTCTCCAAAACCTTCTAGAAAAGTTGTAACCTTCTACATTCTCAGGTTTATGCTTTCTACTTTTCTAAAGTCTCTCAGAAGACAGACAAACATCTGCACACAATATGTTGTGGTCTTTAAAACCTAGGACAGCCAAAATCTATGACCCTTGATTTCTTCAACTGATTTATTTAGTTGTTCATAGAGTTGTTTATAGAGTGTTAATCACTGAATTGCCTGAGAAGGAGGGGAGTAAATGAATTAGGGGAATTCAGTAAACATGGATAATTTAACCTAGATGTCCTCCCTGCTCTTGCAGACCACAGTTCTCTGAAATAACAAATGCCAATGCAATCTACAAAGCCGTCGAAACAAAGCACACTGAAAGGTTGTTTTAGCTGAATTTCCTCTCCTGAATTTTACCCGGAGGAAATCCACTATGAATTTGTTCGTATTTGAGGAACTCCCAGGGAAGCAAAGTCTTGCTAGGTAAATTTTGCAAGACAGAGGAGGAGAAAGTCTGCTTACACTATTCCTATCCCATTTATAGTTGAGCTTGATGACAGTACCCACTGTTGAATAGAAAGTACCTTAACAAAGCATTATTTATATCATAATTATCTACTGACAAAAACAAAGATGTTGAGTTGAGTTAAAAAGGAATGAGACAGTATTTTCTTCCCTAAAGTCTTCCAGACATGACATGGCCTTCTATTCTCTGTAAAAGACAGAGGTATACTGAAATGGGAAGCTAAATTTGACGAGGGGATAAAAAAGAGGGAAGAGCATCCTTGGTTTTCTTCTTCCTGAATTTTCTCCTACTTTTTATTCATTACTCTGATGAAACTTTCCCCAATTCTCCACCCTTGTCCTATCTGAAACAGAGAAAATCCTGATGAAATCAAGTGTAACGTAACATTTGAAATTATTCTGGAAGAATTACTCCAGAGAAAATGGGACATGTCTTAAGAAGAGAAGTGGAGGGAAACATTATTTGAAATTGATGTTTACAGCTCAGTTTAGCCAAAAGGAACAAATCAAGCAACAGAAGAGATTTTGCTTTTAGCAAAAATATTTAAGCTATTTTGAGATAAGTGTGGATCTTATGACTATAGAATCTTATGACTACGGAATTTTTTGTAAATAGATTTTGTGTCTCCTTAACTGAATTCCATGTAAACCATCTTCCATGCAGAGCAAGAATTAAAATCATATTTAAAGTATTTCTTTGGCTGATGCTTCTGTTGCTGTGGGAAATAAAATCCATGATGAACAAACTTTAGGCAGGACTTGTGACTCATTTTGGATCAGTCAGCAACAGAGAGCAGGAACAAGTTTCTTTCTTTTATTAATTTTTCTTACAGAAATGTTTATTAACCATGTAAAATTGATGTAAATTTAAAGAAGAAAGTAAACATGAGTAAAAGAAAAGTACTAAGTAAAAAAGAAAAGAGAACAAAGGAGAGGAGAAGGGAGGGGTGGGGAGGAGAGGAGAGGAGAGGAAAGAGGAAAGGGAAGGGAAGGAAAGGAAAGGAAAGGAAAGGAAAGGAAAGGAAAGGAAAGGAAAGGAAAGGAAAGGAAAGGAAAGGAAGAAGGGAGAGGGGGAAGGAAGGAAAACAGGGAGAGAGGGAAAATGGAGAGAGGGAGGGAGGGAGGGAAGAAGGAAGGAAGGAGTTTCTTTTTACAGCACTTTTAAATGCATTTATATTTTATCCTCTCTTTCTAAGGTTACATCATGGCTTCCTTCTTTCCATAGTCTAATCATCAAAACCACAAATCATAAGTTATTTTTTCCATTTTCAACAAAAAGACCATAAAGTGTTTCCCATCACTAACAAATATAGCTATTATCTTTTCCCTAATCAAACAAGTCAATTTTGCCATCTCTGAAAATTTTGTCATCTTCACCAACCATTTCTCCATTATAAGAGAACCAGCAGGCATTCCAATTATTTCTGACATTGACCTGACACTTCCAGCTTATCCAAGCAGAAACAGCAAAGAAGATGCTGGAAAAATAAACAAAATATATATATATATTTGGAATGGCAGGTTTGTTCAGTTCATCTTTTTAACCTAAAGTTTCATTTCATTTCTAGAAATAATGATGATGATGATGATGATAATTCTAAATAATAATTATTATAAATTTATCACATTTCTATCAGCTACATTTTTGCAAGCTCCTTTTCACTTGCAAACATTTTCAGTCTTTGCACTGCATTGGTAAGACCACACTTGGAATACTGCATCCAGTTTGGGTCACCACAATACAACAAATATGTTGTGATTCTGGAAAGAGTGCAAAGAAGAACAATAAAGATAATTAGGAGACTGGAAGCTAAAGCATACAATGAACAGGTGTAGGAACTGAGTATGTCTAATCTAAGGAAGGGAAAGACTAGGTGATATGACAGCAGTCTTCCAATAGTTGAGGCGCTGTCACAGAGAAGAAAGAGTTAACGTATTCTCCAAAGCACCTGACAGCAGGACAAAACATAATAGATGGAAGCTTATCAAAGAGGAATCCAACCTAGAATTAAAGAGAAGTTTCTTAACTGATACTGAAAACCATTTAATCAGTGGAATGGTTTGCCTCCAAAAGTTGTGGATGTTCCATCACTGGCGGTTTTTTGGAAGAAATTGGACAACCATTTTTCCAGAATGGATAGGTTCTCCTGCTTGAGCAGGGTGTTTGACTAAAAGATCTTCAACTCTGTTATTCTGCATTCTATTTTGCATTTTATTCTGTATTCTTTTATCATCATAAAAAGGTATAAAAATACAAGTTTTAAAGAATGTTTTAAAAAATAGATACTACTGATAAAAAGCCAAATATAAACAGCAAAATACAGGCAGATAGCCAACAAATGCAAAATATCATGGCTAACATATTCCAGGACACCATTTCAAAGTTCCCATAGTTTAAGATGTAATGTATATAGTCTGGTACATATTGTATTGTGCTCATTTTAATTAAAATATCCAACTTTAAAAACATTTGGATAATATAATTGAAGGCATTAAAGAAAATAGAAAGAAAAACTATGTACTATAATAAACAATACAGTACATTGACAATATGTATGTATTATCATAATATGATAATATGTCAAATTAGAATATAAACTGTAAAACCCAAATTTTGGATGTGACACAATTGTGTGGATAAAATTGTAGTATAAATCTGGCTTTCAAACAGAGTTGAATTCTCTACTTTTCAAAATTTCTCCAGCCATCAACTGGTGACCATTCCTCCACAGGGGGGAGATCTTTCCCATTTTAAAAAAATGAATAGTATCCATTTATAACAAACTCATGAGCTTATATAATGCCAAATACAGTATATTTTAAGAAATGTATGGCCTGGTGAAGTTTAATAAGAAAAAAACCCTCAGGAAACTGGATTCTGATTTTTAGAATGTGTTCCATTCTACAACAGTTTTCCAGAACTGTTGATCTTCACAGAATTGCTATCGCTGGAAAAAGAATCCAGTCTGTTCATTATATTTCCAGAACAACGATGATGATGATGATGATGATGATGATGATGATGATGATGATGATGATGATATCTTAAGAAAATACTTGGTTGATACCTAGGACACTGGTAGCAACCTATATCAACCATTAGCCCTAGTCAATGGTATTTTTGAATGTTCAGTTGATTGAGTTTCATGTTTAATGAATCAAGTATATAATAATAATCTTCATCATCATTTAGAACACAACATGCCAAATATCAAGAGCCGTGTTGGCGCAGTGGTTAAAATGCAATTAACTCACTGCTTACTGCTCACTGCTCACTCAAGTGAAAAGAAGGACCAGGGAAGACATGATAGCAGTCTTCCAATATTTGAGGGGCTGCCATAAAGAGAAAGGGATCAAACTATTTTCTAAAGCACCTGTAGGCCAGACAAGGAATAATGGATGGAAACTGAACAAGGAGAGATTCAACCTGGAAATAAGGAGAAACTTTCTGACAGTGAGAACAATCAACCCAGGGAACAGAAGTTGCCCTCGGAAGTTGTGAGAGCACCATCACTTGAGACTTTCGAGAAGAGTTTGGACTGCCATTTGTCAAAAATGGTGTAGGGTCTCCCGCTTGGGTGGGGGGTTGGACTAGATGACCTATAAGGTCCCTTTGAACTCTGATTATCTGTTTATCTGAGTTCAATTCTGCACAGCTCAAGGTTGACTCAGCTTTCCATCCTTTTGAGGTCAATAAAATGAGGACCCAGATTGTTGGGGGCACTATGCTGACTCTGTAAACAGTTTAGAGAGGGCTGTAAAGTAGTATATAAGTACTAAGTACTACTACTATCACAGTTTTCAAAAACCAAAGCATACAATTTATTGATATCACTGTACCGGGAGATGCCAGAGCCAAAGAAAAAGAACTGGAAAAAAATCTGGAAATACTGGTTGGAACAATCTCACCTTTCCTTCAAGCTCTTTTCTCTCCACTCTCTCCTTGCCTAAATCATTTACTGGCAATGCTAACTACCTTGCAGATGAGTCGTCAAGGATAAACAAAGATTATTCAGCTGCTAAAAATTACTTGAACACGCCCAAGTATGACAAGTATTCCTGTATCAGTCCAAACCTTTTATTGGCAAAGCTATCTACTGTCTCCTTCCCCATTTGTGATTAGATTTTGAATCATAATGTATGGGTAGGTAGCCACGCCAAGCCAGTAGATGGGGAATCCCATTAAATGAACATTACGAGAGAGATGTTATCCGTCTGAATAAACTACCTCTGAACTTCCTCAAGTTGTATACATTTAGGTCAAGGATGTAGCCCAGAGCCCTCCCTAGATTCCTGACCCAAAATTGTGGTCATTAATGGAACAGAAGAGGAAACACTATTAAGAATATGGGGAGTAATCATTTCACCTGTCATTTAGTTGACTTTTAATATATATTTAGCTTAGACCAAGCCGTCTCCTCTTCTGGCCCCACTTAATCTTGAAGCACCGTTTTTAGCTAAATGCAGCTCTCAGCTCATGAAAAAAATGATTCATTTCTGGCAGCTTTATCCAGAGCTTTCATTGCCATCTATTCAAGGATCAGAAGCATTTTAGCCCATTCAGGTTTGCCTATCGCTCCCTTGCTCTTTCAGTCTGCTTCCTCAAGTACCAGCCTGCAGCAGGAAATCCACTCTTACTCATAACATTTAATAACTACGATAAACAAAAGCAGATTTCCACGTCATTTCTTCATCGAGGGGCCTTCAAAGCAGCTAACCAAGAAGTTATGCATGCCACCCAAACCGACCTCCCTTTCCCTGGCTCTCCAGAACACATCTCTTTGCCGGAATTTCAGCATTTCAGTATCATAGCTCAGTCATGTCTGGTTCTACACAATGGCTTACACACTGGTTGACCAGCCATAGAGCTGATCAAAGCAAAAATAAACATGTCCTCAAATTGAGTTCGACCCCTTGATGATTTAACAGACTCAACTGTACACTTTCCTTGGTATCAAGGGAAACGTGACTTGCCATTGACTTTTTCCTGGATATTTTTCAACTTCCTAGTCTGGCCTTCCTGTTATTTTTAAAAAAACATAAATTCCTGGAACTTTGGATCCAGAGTCTAGTGATTAAAAAATGGCTG